TCAAAAAAAAAAAAAACATCAACATACGAATTGCCAAAAGTATCAAATATGAAGATCAACCATAGTTAAGATCACAAAAAATCAAGTTAAAGACTTTTACGCAAAAAAAAAAACACTGAGCTTTGGATTTCTTTTTCCTTTTTAAATAATCAAAGAAATGAAAATTAACTTTGAATGGATTTCTAGCCACAGTAATCAAAATGAATCAAGATTTTATCTGACAGAATTTATCAAAGAAGCTCAGATATATGGTTCGAAACCCTTCTCCATTGGACTTTCTCGTATGTACCGAGAAAGTAAATGAAAATGAAACACGAAATTAAATTCTATACTCTGAAAGAAGAGATTTGTTGAATGCGAAAAAAAAGAAACAAATTATGGACTTACAAAAGAATTACACAAAAATTAATGAAAATTCATTCTCACTCTTTAGCAAGATTTCATAATAAGGAGAACAGAATTTTAATCCTATGGGATAGGCATTCAAGATTCGTAACCAAATTAAAAAAAATAAAATCATCTCTTTTGAAGATAAAATGCAATTTTTCATAATTAGAAACTTGACATCATAAAAAAACGACTATAATATACATGCATATACACGTAATAACAGATAAAAACATTACAGGATTTTACCTGAAATCAGGGATGAGAGAATTGCAGAAGAAGATGGGAATATAGAAAAACACCTCTAAATTTAATTGATTTGAGGTCCCGGCTTCTTTCGATGGGGAAGAGAAATACAGATTAAAAAATAGAAAGACTATTAGAAATAGTGAAAATCCTAAACTTACAGGTCCCAGATACTTTGGCAGGCGAGTGAAATGTGCAAAAAGAAAAGAAAAAATGCTGTAATGAACAAGAGCAAAAGGCGGGTAACGAATAACACCATGTTTGGCCCAAGGTCAGCAGGAGTGCAAGAGGAGAATAGTAGAAGCGGTAATTCGAAGAATGAGAATAATAAGGGACATTTTAAAAATAACTCTCTTTACGGTGTTTTTAAACATAGTTTTTTTTTTTATAATTTTACCTATTGTTAATTAAATTAAATTAAATTATTTTTAATAAAATTATACATCAGGTGTAAAAATATATTATATAGTTAAGTTATTACAATCCATGTTAAAAAAAATATTGTTGTCTACAAAAACATGTTACAGGTTAGATTGTTGCTCACCATGTTAAAAAAAAAAACTATTATTACACTCCATACACAAAAATATATTACACATTATAGTTAAAAAAGGTTATTACATGTCACATGGAAAAAAATATTATTATTACACATCATATTAAAAAAATAATATTATTACATGTTATATTTAAAAATATTTTGTTACATTTTAATGTCTAAAATATTATTATTATTTACAAATCAAAATTTTAAATATTCTCAACTTTTTCATTTTTATTGTTTTTTGGACAACTTGATATGATTAAAATATTTCTAACATGTTTTCATAAATAAAAACACAAATTTTTTTTATCTAAAACACCTATTTCTACTAAAAATTAAAAAAAAATTCTTTAAAAACCTAGGTATATAAATTTCAAAATTTTAAATTTATTGGTGTTTAAGTCCCAAATTAATCCAATTAAAAATTATTTCAAACATCTGTGATCATTTTTACAGTTTTTATTTTATCCAAAATATTTAAAAATTAAAATTTTCAAATACCTACAGTTTTAATTTTAATTAGTGTCTTGGTAGTACAGAAAAGAAATATTTAAAAACGTGGGAGAAAGAAATCGAAAACCGAGCATAGCATACTTATACCAAAGAGAAAAATCGATAAAATTAGAGAGAGTGGAATGGTGAGAGAGAGAAATCGAAAACACAAACAAAAAACAAATGTGATGAATGGTTTAATTTATTTAAAATAATTTCAATGATATTTTTATCAAATCATGATTAAATATGATTAAAAATAATTAAATTTATTTTGATAGTTATTTTTAAAATACTTTTATTAAAAAAAATTATTTTTCATGATTTCTTCAAATGTAATAATACATTGACAATACGTTTGATGCGCCCACTCTTCTCCCAATTAGTGTTTACTTTTTTATTTGATTAAGTTTTATCTATTTTCCCGAAATTACTATTTACTTTTTTGTACAATATAAAATACCTTTCAAAATTATTAAGATGAAATTATTCTTCATAAATTTGGAAAATTACAATTTTATTCATATAAAATTATTTTTTTTCTCTTTTCTTCCTCTCCCTCTTCTTCCCATGGCATTGTTCTTTTTCACCGTTTCCAGCTCTGCCTGTGATTACTGATTTGGTACTTATCTAATGGAAAAGAAAATGGGTTAAACTGAATATGCTCAAGTATTTTTTTTTGTTCATTTTATGATGATTTGGGCTTAGTTTGTTGTTACTTGTTTTTTTGTTCTTCGTTTAATGTTTTAGGCTTGCAAATCTCTTCATTGAGCTTATCAAAATTATTATAAGGTGCATAATATTATGTTTAATGCATAAAAACTTCTTTTTTGTTAAATTTTTTATCAAATATTATATATTAATCTTATTTGAAAAAAAAATATTACTTAGATAAATCTATACATACCTGAAGAATTTTTTTTTTCTTTTTGTTAATATATATTGTATTATTTCAATGAAAACTACATAATATATTATTTTAATAAAAATAAATATTAATATAATAAAAATATTTTTATTTTTATTATAATAAATAATAATAATTTTTACCTTACTCTTTTTACCATATCAAATTAAATAATAATTATTTTATTCTTATTGCATGAACAAAACGTCCTTTACTATCACGCGTAATAAAGATAAGACTTTTGGAGGGTTGAATTGCATTTTGAATAAAGTTTTGGGAACAAAATGAATACTATCCAAAGCTTTGTTTTTTCTCTCAACGTGGCACCCAATCATTGGCTTGACATCCAAAGCGTAAGTAGAAATTTGTAAAAACGCCATAGTATGTACATATCGTATATGCCTGAGAGCGAGCAGCACATGCGCAGGGCATAAGCCTGACTCGCTGCCTCCTTTAGCTCAGTCACCAGACCAGAAGCACAAATTTCAGAATCATGACAAATAGCAACAGCCCAGACACGTCCTCCGATCTCCGGAAATACGGCGTTCCGTTTTACGGAGCCGGCTGGGTTCCTTACGACCACATCAGATCCAAGCTCGCGTCGCAAGAAAAAAATGAAGAAAATGAAGACAAAGAACCAACTCAATCCAAAGACGATGAGATTAGTACCTCCCAAAACTACGTCGTTTTTGCTGGCGGTGGTGGTGAAGGCCGTAGCGGCATCCCCAATGCAATCGTCGTCTCGCATGTCGATTTCGCCTCTAATTCTCTCTCTGAACAGCCTGTAAGTAGATTTCAAGAATTTCAATTTAAAATTATTTTAATTTTATAGATTCTATGTTGACGATTCTTAAAAGTATGAAATCTAAATCTTTTAGAGCAGCGATTTTGAATTAAGGAAACGTTCTCAAATTTGTGATTGTAATTGCTGTAAGCAACTGCTTTTTTCAAAAAAAAATAATAAAATTCACATGGAATATGATATGATAATTTATTGTATTTTCTTGTTATCATTAAAGGTGTTTAAGCTGGGAACTGATTCTGATTTGCCTTACCGAATGACTGTTCATCCGCGTGGAGATGGCATTATCTGTTCATTGCAACAGAGTTGCAGGTTTTTTCTTTTTTGTCTCTTTAGTTACTTTTTTTTTTGTTTCTATCATTTGCTTTTCGAATCTGAAATTGGAAAATTTTGATGGCCTAAAGCATTGATATTGACATAATTTAGCACAGGCAACTTAATTTGATAGGTGAAATGTGAATTTGAATAATCCTTGGTGGATTTCAAAGCTGCCTGCTGTTGTTACTAATTAGATTGATAGAGGCAAGCATGAGTGTATAACCAATGATTCTCTCTATTGACAAAAGATGCTGTTATTTCTTTATGATGCTTTTTTCTAAATCATCTCAAAGCCATCGCTGCTACAAAGCTTTTTGGAAAATGGAGTGTTTGGAGGAAGAGAATGAAAATTTTCTGGTTCTAAATCAGCCAGACAAAATGCGTGATACAGTTTGTTCCTTTCTATATGCCCAAAAGAAAGTGTTTCAAATCAATTTCTTCATCATATTTTCTTTTCTTGATATGAATTTCTTCGTCATAATTTCAACCAGTCTATTTATATAAAGAATGTGCAACTCCTCAATACATTTTTCTATGAATTAGATACGACCTCTCTTGGAGGTAATATAATTGCCCTGGCTTTAGTGTGAAACTCTAGACACTGAAGGGAAGAGTAATAGTATAGAAGTTGTACCATAATATAAAGGTGTACCTGAAGTTATGCTAGCAAATAGTCAAGGAGCTTATGCAGCTGTTTATTGTGAAATATAATTTTCAAAGATGTAACCACATGTGCACCAAGGTTCATGTTTTAATGGTCAGATATCCTGTGTAATTTGTGCTGCAGCACCTTTGTTCTGATTCTGTTTCCCTCCTGTGCTCCTTTTTGACTGACTCAATTCTAACATACATCCAGATTAGTATTATGTTGCACAATTAGTTTTGTCATTGTTTCTAGTTTAAGGAGTACCATATCCCATTGTTTTTCTTCTTCAGGTTGTTTGAGTGGGAAGAAACCCAGGATAATGAAGTACAAAACCTGGGTGTCAAGGTGTCAGAGAAAGTTCTGACCCAGTTAGAAGATGTTGGACAACAATTAGCACTGAGATTTAACAGTGAGGGTTCCGCACTGGCTGTTGGTGGCGAGGTAGAGCATCCCTTTCAATTTTTCCATTTGTTGGAATAAGTCTGTTGCATGATTCATTATAACACCAGTGGGAAAAACTATTGTCTCACTATGTGGTCAATCTGAAGGTGATGCTCAAGTCAAGCTGTACATGCTAGTGTAAATTTAAGAAGTATATACTGGTTGTTTTTCACACAATAGATCACTTTATGCAGTGTGGTTGTCGTTTTGGTTCAACTTGGATTTCAGCGATATATTATCGTGATGGAATATCAATGTCATTTTCTTGACATAGAGAGGAAGAACAAAGGAAAAAAAAAAAGCCAAAGATATTAAAAGGCACCCAATGTTCAACAATGTACAGTGTTATGACCTTTATTTTGTACCCTTTAATACTGTAGATTCTACACTTGTCTTTATTGGGTGCCACTGTGGAAGTAATAGTTTCTGCATAGGGGTTTTCAAACTTCAAAAAGCAGATAGTAGCAAGTTATAGGATCTTCCTTCGAAGCTCATCTTTGGATTGAAGGGCCAACTTTTCCATTTCTGTATGTTATGTTTCACTTGTTCAATTTCTCCATTTTGTGCCTAATGCATTATACCTTTTTCATTTCAGCAGCAATATGCCATATGATGCTCTGATTTTGTTGCAGTACAGGATGGCAGTTTAAGGGTTTTCAAGTGGCCTAGCATGGAAATAATTCTGAATGAAGCCCAAGCTCATTCTTCTGTTAAGGACTTGGATTTTAGGTCTGTGGCACTGGGATTAACAATAATATCTATTCCTGAACCTGCAAACTTTTTCTCCCCTGCTTATACTTATACTTTCAAGGGAGGAGGTTGTCAAACAGGAGGAAACTTCCTCTCCTTAGTAATCATTTTTGCTGACAACTTTATTGTTTGTATTGCAGCTGTGATGGAAAATTTCTTGTCTCATTGGGAAGTGGCCTTTGTAGGATTTGGGATGTAGAGTCATCAAAAGTTGTTGCTTCTCTGGCAAAGGGAAATGTGAGTGAGTGAATCAAAATTTTTAATAGAGCCTTTTCTATAGGTTTACAACTTTTGGTGCTTTTAACACTAGCTTTTCAAGTTGAGGAGAGTTGTCCAGAGTCCAGATTATTAGCATTATGTGTTACATCTCTCTCTCTTTCTCTCTTTATATATATATATATATATATATATATAT